AGGCCACTTGTGGCTCCTGGGACCCACTGGTGGGAAAGAATCAACCTTGGAGAAGGCTACAAGCTCGGTCTGGCGCTGTGACCACAAAATTTGGCTGTTTGGATTCGCCAGTGAGACGTACCAGCAGAACTATGAAGGCAGACATGGAAATTCAAGCAGAGGCTGCCTGACCCAAAATAATTGTGTTATCTGAATTTGGTTCCCTACTCGGCCTTGAATTGGCCAGTTATCTCAACTTCTCCTGGTTGTTTATGTGAACAAGAAGCTCCGCTCCCCCCTCCCCTATTGCTTCCCTCCCGAGGACATCTGTGGATCTGTGTCTTCTTCAATAGGTTCAGTTCAGGAACAAGCTCAGCATCTTCCTCTCTTGCCCACAGCCAACCATACATACCACCCTCCATTGACCCAAGGCTGTCCTGTCACACCTCAAATATTGTATTTACCACCTCAGTCATGGACCCTTCTTCTTCTACATAATGGTCTTCAACCAAATCAGAAGATGCTGATACCTCCTTTGCCTCCCCCCTCTGCGTCTCCAGAAGTCAGGTGAGGAAGCAGCTAGAGAGACTGAACCGGAATAAGGCTGCAGGTCCAGATGGTGTCAGTCCCAGAGTCCTGAAGGTCTGTGCAGAGCAGCTCTGTGGGGTTCTGCAGCACCTCTTCAACCTTAGCCTGACCCAGGAGAAGGTTCCAGTGTTGTGGAAAACATCCTGTCTTGTTCCAGTGCCAAAGAAAACTCATCCATCAGTCCTCAATGACTATAGACCTGTTGCCCTGACATCCCACATCATGAAGGTCCTAGAGAGACTTCTGCTGACCCACCTGACTAGACAAACAAGCACATATCAGGACCCACTGCAGTTTGCTTATCAGCGTGGACTTGGAGTTGAAGATGCCATCATACACCTGCTTCAGCAAACTCACTGTCATCTAGAAAAGGCAGACAGCTCTGTGAGAGTCATGTTCTTTGATTTCTCCAGTGCATTTAACACAATCCAGCCTGACCTGCTTTGTCAGAAACTCCAGAAGACTCAGGTGGAGGCCTCAACAATCACCTGGATCAAAGACTACCTGACAAACAGACCACAGTTTGTGAGACTGAAGGGTTGTGTGTCTGACCAGGTGGTCAGTAGCTCAGGAGCACCACAGGGGACTGTACTCTCACCACTCCTTTTCACTCTGTACACCTCAGATTTCCAGTACAAAACAGACTCCTGTCATCTGCAGAAATATTCTGATGACTCTGCAGTGGTCAGGTGTATCAGAGATGGACAAGAAGCTGAGTACAGGGAACTGGTGGACCGCTTTGTGGCATGGTGTAGAAACAATCATCTCATCTTGAATGTGAACAAAACAAAGGAGATGATTGTAGATTTCAGGAGAACCAGGAACAGATCCAACCCTATTTTCATCATGGGAGAAGAAGTGGAGGTGGTGGAGAAGTATAAATACCTTGGAGTTCACCTGGACAATAGACTGGACTGGAAATGCAACAGTGAAGCGTCTACAAGAAGGGACAGAGCAGACTGTACTTCTTGAGGAAGCTGAAATCCTTCAACGTTTGCAGCAAGATGCTGCATATCTTCTATAAGTCTGTTGTAGAGAGCGCTGTCTCTTCTGCATCATCTGCTGGGGGAGCAGCACCAGAGCAAGTGACATAAAAAAGATCAACAAGCTCATAAAGAAGGCTGGCTCAGTTCTGGGGACTCCTCTAGAACCTCTGGAGATGATTGTACAAAGAAGGATTCTTCATCAAATGAAGAACATTATAGACAACCCTCAGCATCCTCTTCATCAGACTGTCATACAACAACAAAGTGTCTTCAGTCAGAGACTTCTTCAAATCCGTCGTAGGACAGACGCTACAAGAGATCCTTCCTGCCCACAGCCATCAGCATCTATAACAACTCTTTAATGAAACCAGGATGATGAGTTAGTACAACATATAATTTCCCTCTGGAATTAATAAAGTATTTTTGAATTGAATTGAGTTGAGCCGGCTGATAAAACACTGTGTCATCTCTATCAGGACTATGGAACTTTCTGGCAGTCTCCACAGACAACTTATTGCCCTTGTCTGCCTCCTCATGCATAAATGTATTATGATGTCATCAGTATGTTGCCATTGCCTGTGCTGAGGTCATTATTCTGCAACTCTCACACTGTGTCCCGTCTAGGACAGTGCAAGATTTTATTTTTTGACACCTATACTCTCCCCCGTGTTTCTTTTTCCTTATCTGTGGCTGAGTGGTTAGAACAGTCGTCCTCCAATGTAAAAGTTGGGGTTTGAATCCACCAGCAGTCACATGCCGAAGTGTCCCTGGGCAAGACACTGAACCCCTCATAGCTTCCGATGTGTGTCCCATCAGTGTATGAATGTGATCTAAAGCTCTGATTATTCTTTGTATAGATACATTAGATTGCTTTATGATTGGGTAAATGAGGCACAGATTGTGTTGTAAAGTGCTTTGAGTATCCTGATAAGATAGAAAGGCGCTAAATAAGTACAGTCTATTTACCATTTATTTGAAAAAAAAGGGGCTGCACCTCTCGAGGCCGGTGGCCTCAGTCACCTCCGTCTCCCCATGTCTGTTTGTTTATGTTTTTTTCAGACGGGCTGTTCTGAAATGTAATTTTTGTTGTGCTTTGATGCAATGACAATAAAGTTGATTCTGATTCTGACTTACTACTTGTACTACGATTCCTATTTAGCAGTTTTTCACGTATTGCTGGGCTTCAGGGTACGGATTAGGGGTGTAAATCATCAGCTTTACCACGACACAATATTATAGTGATTTGTTTGTATGACCATATGATTTTTCTCGATATCACAAAGTCTGTCACGATACAATTTTGATTCTATTCATTTCACAAATCTGTGATCGATATATTGTGATATCAAATGCCTATCTCATTTACATATAAATAAATATACAAAAACAACTCAAATATGATTTAACCCTTTTATTTCTGTTATTATAGGCACAAGGCATTTAAATTAAAAAAATAAAAAGTCTTAATTAATGAAAAAAATTAAAATAAATGACCTGTTCAGTACAGTCTCACATTTCTCATGTTTAAGTGCATTTTTTTAAACCAGTTGACTTGAAAGTGCCCTGATGACCTTTCACTTATAAAAAACAAATAGATATTGAGTTTACATAACTTGGCTATCAATGCCATGTTTCTTCTTCAGGTGAACAGACTTATTTGTTGTTTCCCGAGTATTTGAACTCACACTGGCACCTGTTGCACACGACATGAGTTTAGTCTGTTGAGCCGTTCTTCTGTTGGAATCAAAATATTTCCACACAGTTGATTTAAATTCAGCAGGAGAGTGAATTTCATCATCTGTGTTTTCTGCCATGTTGCTGAGGCGGCCGCAGAGCGCAGCCGTGCACGGAAGTGGTGGCACAGACGTGCCTTGGGAATTTCAAAATAAAAGCGTATTTTAAAGATGACAATATGAATCGATGTTTTAGTTTTACCACAATATAATTGAATAATTCATCATTTAATTGATATATCAGTTTAAACTGATGTGTTGTTACACCCATAGTATGGATGCCCCGCAATAAACGAGGGACTACTGTAAACAACATTTTCACCAAGAAATCACCAGATTAAATAGATTCATTTACTGTTTCATTAAGTAAAGGATTAAGCTATATTGCTTTGAAAGATACAAATTTGTTATGGATATTACTAAATGATATTATCTATTTTTAGCTTTAGTTTGAAACTGTGGTGATAGCTGAAAACAAACACTTCACCACTTGCTGAAGCCGAGATCGGATGCTTCCTCCCCCTCCCTTCTCGACTGGAAGACTTGATGATGTGTCTACCTCTGCTGCCATCTGTGGATGTTAAGGACGCATATTTAATTGGATTCACGATAACCGGTTCCTGCTTTTTGGATTCAGCTGGTGCTGGTTTTATCTACAATCAAGGAAGTCGTCAGCAGCAAATTTGGACCCGATCATGCTTCTTGCCTTTATGATGGCTTGGTTCATGTCTGGAGTACCCAGACTCAAATGCTTTGGGCTGAATGGATCAGATCTTGGGGATTTTTACTCAGACACGTTTCCATCGGTGTGGCCATGTTAATTTGGACATTTTGGAACCAAGTAGACCAACACAGACTCAAGGTTGATGTCATTAAGTTCTGCCTGTCTCCAAAATAACTGTGTGTTTATCTGAATTTTGGTCACCTTGGGCCTTGAAGGCCATCTTATCTGAAGTCGCATGGAGAAAATGTGATCTGACGCTCACCACCCCCTCCCTGAGGAAATTCCAACTGATAACCAGATGAAAAAACTTTATGTCATCATTTCAGGACTCTTGGATACTCAGGGGTTATTCTTGGCCATTCCTCGACATACCTCGAGAATGTTTATGGATCTCACCGGAGGACATTGACTGATTACAGTGACACCGAGAGCATCTAAAAGTGTTGTTGTTGACCGCTCTCGTCTCTTCCTTCTTCCTGCTCTCCTCTATTGCAGAATGTCTACGTAAATATGTGCTTGTTTGTGCGAGGTGTTTTTTCAATATTAGGGGTTTTTCTCAGCCAAGAAAAAAGTCTGATAGGAATTTTTTTTGCCTCTAACTCCTACATGTGTCCAGTTAACCACTGTTTTTGTCTGTCCAAACAGGTCTCACTTGTAAATGAGTCTTCGAGGCTCAATGTGATTTATCTGTTTAAATAAAGGTTGAATGAATGAAAAAAAAACTTATATTAATGTCTGTTGGTGAAATGGACTTCCTTCACAGCCACTTAGTAAAATTACTCCTTCATAAATTTTCTGAGAACACATCAAAGACCTTAAATGTCTATTTAATTTCTTGTGTGATATTATTGGAAGCATGACATAAAAATGTAACTTCACTCTCCATGGTGTTCAGTTTCTGTTTGAGGTGTGTCCTCCTCAGAGCTGCATTAACAGATCTGCTGCAACTACAAAAAAACATAGAACTAAAAAGGTTTTCCTCCATTTCAGATTTTGGTATCTCCATTCCTGTTGGTCACATTGACTTCTTCCTGAATGGTGGGAAAGACCAGAATGGATGTTCCCGTTCCAGATTTTCCTCAAGTAAGATTTAAAAAAATGTAGAAAGAAGAAGAACATTCTTATAATATCTGCTCCTTATTTAAAACATATAAAATAACTCCAAACAAACAACAAGTCAGATTTGAACAATCTCCAAAGTGAAAACAAACACATTCTTCACACTTTACTAATCATTTTAACTTAATCATCTTTTTAAACATATAACTTGTTTTATAAATGTTTATGTTTATATCAAGACGATTCCATAATCCTGTTCCCTGAACCACAACTCAGCTCCTTCACACTCGTTCTAAACGGAGGTTTTACAAACATTTACATTCTCTTCAGTTTATAATGACTCGCTTTTTAAACACATTTTAAATGAATATTTGGGGGTAATATGTTTTATGAACTTTATACATGACTTGTAAAATACTATATTCAACCAAATCATAAATTTTATATTTCAATTGATGAAATAATATATTTGTTGGTGACCAGAGCACTTCATACTAATAATTCATAAAGCTCATTTTTGTAAAATAAAAATAGCATTTGTAATTGTTTTGCTTTTCCCCAAACTTCAATACAACAGATTAAATATGGAACAATAATTACATTATACAATATATACAAAGCTTTGTCATTCAGCAACTCTTTTACTTTATACAGTAATGCAATTTATTTAACTATTTTTATTCTTAAGTAATTTACATGAGATTTCCATGTCAGGTTCTCATCAATAACACCCCAAAATTTTATTTCATTAACTCTATGAATTTCAATGCTGTCAATTTTAAATGGGACTTCAATCATTTTATTTCTATTACTAAATATCATGTAGTTGTTTTTTTTCCAAATTTAATGACTAATAACTTTAATAACTTGTTATTTTGGAACCAAGTTTGTATTTTTTTTAATAATTCTGCCTGTATCATCTCTAACATCCGTCCAATATCTTCACCTGAATGGTAAATGGTCTGTACTTATATAGCACCTTTCTATCTTATTTCAAGATACTCAAAGCTCTTTACAACAATCTGTGCCTCATTTACCCATTCATACAGCTCTATACTAGATCTCTACAAAGATAATTGAACAAATCATTCTAAAGAGACTAATAAGAGCTTTAGATCACATTCATACACGGATGGGACACACATCAGAGGCAATGAGGGGTTCAGTGTCTTGCCCAGGGACACTTTGACATGCGATTGCTGGTGGATTTGAACCCCCAACTCTCGCATTGGAGGACGACTGCTCTAACCACTCAGCCACAGCCGCCCCTAACCTGAAGAAAAAACTGTGATATCATCTGCAAATAAAACACACTTCAAAAGCCCTGACATATCAACCAGAACATTCACATACTAAATAAACAACTTTGGTCCCAACACAGAGCCTTGAGGGACTCCACATCCATTAACAGAAAATTCAGATCTTACATCAACAAAGTCCATGCTCAATAATCCAGGTATACAATCCAATTTTTTTTCAATCAGGTCATCTAGACAGTTTCTTTTTTTCGTGCTGAAACGTTTCACCTTCCATCCAGAAGGCTTCATCAGTCAAGGAAACGCACAACACTAAACTGATTCTTCCCCCAAACAGCTTTCTCCAAAGAGGAACAATCCAGTTATGTTGGTCCTAAGATGGTGTCTTTGGCACGCCCTCTCCTCTTGTACCAGCCCTCTTCCTCGTCGACAGTCATGTCAAACTCTTTCAAAACCAAAAAAGTCCATGCTCAATAATCCAGGTATACAATCCAACTTTTTTCAATCAGGTCATCTAGACAGTTTCTTTTTTCGTTGAAACATTTCACCTTCTATCCAGAAGGCTTCATCAGGCAGAAAACTGTCCAGATGACCCCATTGAGCATGCATCAGGATGTCCAGATGACCTGACTGAAAATTGTTGGTTCAGATCTTACATGGTTTACATGTACAAACTGTCTCCTATTATTCAAATAACTAGATACCCACTGTAGTGCTAATCCTCTAATGCCATATTTATTCAGTTTTCCAAGGAGTATGGTTTGGTCAATGGTGTCGAAGACCTTTTTTAAATCAATAAAAACACAACACTGTTTTTGATCAACAGCAATTGTTATCTCTTCTATTAGTTCCATGAGAGCCAATGATGTTGAATTATTTGCTCTAAACCCATATTGACTATTACTTAAAATATTCTGTTTATCTATGAATCGATCTAATCTGGTTACAAATAATTTTTCTAATATTTTTGAAGATTGTGTCAACAAGGATCTTGGTCTGTAATTAGTGAACACACATTTCTCACCATTCTTATAAAGAGGAACTGTCTTTACTATGTTCATATTTTCTGGAAATGTTCCTGTTGAAAATGATAAATTACATAAATATGTAAATGGTTCAATAACATAACTCATATCTTTTACAAACATCATGTCCATGTCCATCCAGTCTTTTGATCTTTTACCTGCAAGATTTTTCACAACACTCAGTATTTCTTCTTCATCAGTGTCACAGAGAAGGAGCTTAGGATTTTGCTGTTTTGCCTCTAAAATGTCATCAAATGAAAAGTATCAAATCCATTCTGTTTTTAAATGTGGACCTTTATTTTACTCTGAACGTCCTGTTTTGTGGTTCCTGTTCTTCTGCAGTGTATGGTTACGTGATTTGTGACCACATGAGGGCACTGCACGTCTACGTGAACGCGTTGAACAGTTCATGCAAGTTGATGGGGTTCCCGTGTTCCACTTATGAGGACTTCCTGAAGGGGAACTGTGTGGACTGTGAACCCTTCAGTGGCACATGTCCTGTGATGGGTAACAACTCTTTTCCTTTTTAACCTAAGGGAAAATACTGTACAAAAAAATAACAACTTTATTTTTAAAATGGAGAAACACTGTGAAAAACTTGAATTAGAAGTCTTGACATGACAATGTCTAAAAATAAATGAATAAATAAATAAAATCAGATGAGTTTTAATGGCAGTAGCATCCTTTGAATAAATGCATATAACCTTGCATCAGTCACAAAGGGCCACAAACAGACCTGAGGTTGTTTCAGAGGACCACACCAACAGGTTGAACTCAATCCTGCCAAAAACTAACGTTTAAAATTAGCTAAAACAACTGGGGGGAAAATCAACAACTTTATTTTACCATAGCATTATGCAAAGCCTGTTATTTAAAAGAGAATCAATAACCAAGTTGCATCTTCCAGTTTGGACTCTATTCTACTGGTTTAGGTAGATGGTTGTGCTGTAATGCCTCAGACTGGCAGGTTGAAAACCAGTGTTTCAGCCTCCATGGTACACAAGGATCTTTTTAATATTGTGACATGTGAGTGTACTTTTGTTTTTTCAGGATTATCTGAAAACAGCGGGATCACCACTTCACCTCTTCCCAAAGAGCAGAAACTGTTCCTCCTCACAACTTCTTCACCTCCATTTTGTGGTAAGAACTGGTCGTGGGTTCTTCATCCAACCTTTATTTATACAGGTTAGTGTCATTGAGCTTCGAGGACTCATTTACAAGAGAGGCCTGTTTTAACAAAGAGCACAGATGACAACAGTAGACAATCATAAGAAACATATAAATTTAAGAATAAATGGAAAAAAATTATATTTCTAAAAAGCAGCTACATTATAAAGCGATATATATAATACTAAAAACAGGAACATGTCTGCGTTGGTGTTGCTTCCTAAAGTGATATTAAAGTATAATGTTTGATAGATTTAAATAATTTCACATTTTTCGATGATCAAAATGGAACCAAAGATTAAATCTGAACAGTTCAGACCATATTCTGTCACAAGTCCTGATGCATGCTCAGTAATCCAGGTAGAAAACATCTGGTCAAGAATCCGTCCAGAGGACCTGACTTAACCTTGTTAGATGCTGTCACATGTGGACTGAGGAACAGGTCAGCTTTTAGAATCATTTCAGCTAAATGCAAACTTGTCACTTACTGTAAATTTGTCTTTTGATGTTTAAAAAAACTTTTTGACTTTTCAAGGAAGTGCAAACGTCAAATGATCACATTTTTCTCACGCCAGTGTTCCTCCTCTCAGCCCATCACATCCTGCTAAAGCTGGAGGTTTCAGACTTGGAGAAGAGCGCTGAGGTGGAGGTGACCCTGATGACAGGGAGCCAGCGGACAGAGCAACGACTCAGGCTGTATGTATCACATGACTGAGGGCTTCTCAGCAGCCTGCAGCTCAGACTGCAAAAATATGATACTGATTTCACTGGTTTATGTCACTGTGGGTCAGGCCTCTTCAAATGGAACAGAATGCATCTTTACTGTGACCTTTTGATTCTTCAGGTGTGGAAATAACATCCTCCCCTCCGGCATTTTATTTTAACTTTTTGTCATCGTTTCACCTAATGATGCAAAGATCTAAAGAGCTAGGAACTTATTTTATGTGCAGCAATGTCAAATGTCTGAGAAATATTCTTTACAACATTTCTAGAAAAGTAGGGGTCACAAAGTTCATCTGAGACTGAACAGACAGATTCTTATTCATCCTCTTGACAAATGCACGCCGAACGTCTCAGGTTTTAAAGTCATTTGTCTGCCAGCAAAAAAGATTAGGGGTTAAAGAGAAAATGCACCGATTGAGTTTTATCTAAAAGTTATTTACAAATTTGTTGTACTTGTTGAGAAGCATTTACCTCCAACAGGAGTAATGAGCAAACGGTCCAAACAGTGATAAGAATAAAAGGTAAATGGACTGTACTTGTTTTACACCTTTCTGTCTCATCAAGACACTCAAAGCTCTTTACAACAATCTGTGCCTCACTGACCCGTTCACACAGCTCTATACTAGATCTGTACAAAGAGAATTGAACAAATCATTGTAAAGAGACTAATCAGAGCTTTATCACATTCAGACACTGATGGGACACACATCAGAGACAGTGAGGGGTTCAGTGTCTTGCCCAGGGACACTTCAGCATGTGACTGCTGGTGGATTTGAACCCCCAACTCTTGCATTGGAGGACGACTGCTCTGACTACTCAGCCACAGCCATCCAAATAAAATAAAAAAGTGAAAATAATATGGTATTAAAAAAATGTAACCAAAAAAACAACAGCTAGGCTGTGAAGCAGTGTAGAAAACTAGAAACAGGAACACGTCTGCACTGGTCTTTGTCAAGAACTTATCAGATGTTTGAAGCCACTTAGAGAGGTCAAGGTCGAGAGCTTCAGATCTTTTTACAAGATATTCCAGGAAACAGGAGCGGAGTAGGAGAAGGTCCTTTTGTCTAGTTCAGTCCTCACTGAGGGAACACTGCAGGTAATGATGTCCTGAGAGCGCACGCTGTAGCTGCACACACACAGAGACATGTAGGAGGAGATGTATGAAGGCAGCAGACCAGGAAGTGATTTAAAGATGGAAATGTACCAGTGAGAGAGTCTGTGTGAAGTTAATGGTGACCAGTTAACCAGTGAATACAGGTTCTATATAATTCTATATAATGAACCTCTTCACAATATTCTCATTTTATGAGACACGAGTTTTGGTTTTTCATTATTTGGAAGACAAGAGGTAAAGGCTGGAGATATGTCACTCTGTTTAATGAATCTATGTATGAGTTTCACTTTCTGAAGTTGACACAAAAAATTTAACTGTTTCACAATATTCTTACAGGCTGAGCAGCTAAAACGCTTCACAAGAAATGTACAACATGTGATACAAACATCACATTTGGCATGGTTGTTCCCAAGAGTTGTCTGAACAATTCCACCTATTGGCCATTTAAAAATCCAATATAGTTGATATATTATACTAATATTTATTTAGTAATATGTATTACTTGCGTAATACAAGACTACTGACAGAATAAATCACATAAATTGATACAAATAATTTAAATTGAACAAGTAATTGGATTACCACGTGATTACTGTGCTCACTTTGGCAGCCATCTTGAAAAAAGATAGCCATCTTGGATTTTCCAAAACCTTATCAGACAGCTTTGACAATTACCTCAAATAAATTTACTGTATACCAAAGTTTGCACAATATTTCTATCATCTGCTCTATTAATGCAAAATTGATCTCCATGGGAAGTTTGTCATTCCAGTCACAAATAAACTTTATTTCTCCAAGCCAAGGTCATTCAAAGATCTACCTACATCAAGCTAGTATTTATTACCCGTCACAAAATTAGACTTCAAAAGATCTAAAGTACTTCTTTTTAGGAAATGGGAGTAAATAAATAATAAAAAAGAAGAAGATAAGACGAGAGACCACCATGACAAAACAACATGCACAGCACAATGCCACCCACAATATCACCATGAAACATTCAACATCGCACAATGAATCATCTAGCTTCCGCCACTACCCAACCTAGCGTGCATCTGTCAAAGCACCTGAATCCAAACACCCGCGCAAG